GGGGCAATTATGGAAAGAAAGAACGTGGTGGAAGATGGCTCAAGATTCAACATGTCGAATTCAACAAATACCTTCTGAGCCTCCACTGCACGCTAGGCTCTGTTTCAGGTGCTCAGGAGGCAAGAGAGGGCCCAACCCTCCCCGTGCTGGGAAGACATCACAAATGAGCACACTGTCTAGTAACTAGGGTGGATACTTGCTGCGGAAAAAGGAAAAAGGGACCTGGGAGGGGAAGGGGGTGCAGAGGGCCCCAGGGGTGTGGGGCACAGTGTGGTGCCGAGATGAGGAAGGATTTAGATAGAAAGTGAGACCCCTGGGCTCTGGGTCCAGAAGGCATTTCGGAGGTCACTTGGCCTAACTTCCTCAGTAATGGGGAGGAAGCAAAGGCCCAGGAGTGGTCGTTAGCTATTCTGCATTTGGCCTAAATCTCAGACAGTCTCTTTCTGCCTCCCCAAGGCGGCCAGACACAGGCATGGCGGTTTTCAAAGCCAGCGCGGCGGCCCAGGAGGTGAGACTCGAGGGTTTTGTATCCTAGCAGCAGGAGGGATGGACGATCTCAGAGCGCAGCTCTGTCTGTGCCACTGCAGGAAAATCGTTCCACAGAACTTCTAATACGTCTCTGTCTGCACGCAGCATTCTGAAGTCTTGAATCGGCGACACCGGCCCTGCTCAAGCCTTTGAGATTCAGCCTTGGTGAAAATTAACCTACATCAGCCAGACACCAAAAGGAAGGGAGAAACTGGCTCCCATAAAGAGGCTTTGGCGTTAGTACAGAAAGAAAACTGCAGCCTCATTGTCCTAATCCCACCTGCCCTTTGTGACTTCTGAGTTCTCAGAGTTACGGTAAACCTGGGTTGATGAGATGTATTTGTCCAGTATCTCTTCGGGTGTGCCTGTTTGCCAAAGGCTGAGCCAATGCAAGAGCCGACGACTCTTAAGGTTCCTGGTGAGATTTACTTGGGTTTTGTGAGGATTACAAGACGGGTGATACAATTGTAACCACCTGCTCTTCCGGAGACCTGTTTGCCGAGGGCAGTGCCGGCGGGGACTTGAGCATTCATTCGGGTCACCGACCGTCTGGCCCCAGACAACTCCCCGGGAGCCCTGTGTGTTCTCTGCTTGCTTTGCTTCTCTTGACAAGACTTTCCCTCATTCAGTCTCCTCTCCTCTGAAAAGCCCCTGGCTCCTTGCCGGTGCCATGCAGAAGAATCCACTGCGCCCCCTCCCCTGGAACACCTCTTCCCCCATCTAACCAGCAGATCACAGAGCCCATGCGTTCCCCATCTGCCCGCCTGCCTCTTTGGCTAGACAGAGGGCATCTTTGCTTGTGGTTGGTGGGGACCTCGACACACTGCTTCCAAATATAGCACCTTGGCATTTCAGAAAGCCACAGAGGCAGCAGGGTGTCCCTGCCACCTTGTCCACTGAATCGGGTCACGTGACCCTCACCCGCGAGGCGCCCTCCCTTCATGGGAGGAAGGGGAAGACTGAATCCCCAGAACAGCCCTTGCTGTGGCCGCCGCCCCCAGTTCTCTACCACGAGATCGCTCTCTCGTCTCCAACCTTGCTTCTCCGAGTCACCCAGTCTTCATCAAGGAAGCACAAGGATACGACGTTTCTGTTTCTCTGGGTCTTCATTTCCTCCCGAAGCCTCCGCGTCACACAAAACATACGCTAAACACATGGATGTGCTTGTCTTTTATCAGCCTTTTTAGGATAGGGACCTCAGCCACAGGTGAGGAAAAGAAATGTCTACTCCCTCCGCCGTGGAGAAATAGCCATGCTAACAAGCACCCACAGAAGCACTGTCCAGTGTGCAGTTAGAGCACTAAGCCCACCACCAAGTGGTGGGCAGTCGGTGCCTCCGCCCACCCGGAACTCGGGAGCTGCCCATGCCCCTCCCTCTTGCCCCTGGACACCACCACCGCCTTCTGTCTCTGCATTCGAATTCCCCAGCTTCCTCGGGTTCGTGGATCACACAGCCTTCGTCCTCTTGTGTCTGGCTGCGTCACTCAGCATAAGATCCCAAGGTTTCAACGATCTTGTCACACGGGTCACAATGTCCCTCACACACCTTCTCACGGAGCCATGCCAATAAATGTTAAGTTTGCTTGAGTAGGAAAAATGCACAGATGTGAACATAAAGTAAGGAGACCTGGAAATAATCTCAAGAGGATGGGAGTTTTCAGTGAGTGCCCAGTGCCAACAGCCTCAGCCCACAGGCAGGTCCTGTGCCGACAGGGTCTCTCACAAATGTCCCTGGAGGCCAACCCCAGCCCAGAACCACACAGGCAAGGACAGCCTGGGAGAAGGCGTGGAGCTGAGCAGAGCTGACCCCGTGTGAGCCGCCCCAGCGCTGAGAGCATGTTCCCGATGGGAGGCAATGCCTCAGCTCCTGTTGACCAGACACACCTAAGAGGCAGCCCCTGTTTACAGCTGTGCATACCCAGTGCCAAGGAGAGCTGGCCACAGATGGTCTCTGGCTGCCTTCACGTCACACTTTGTTTCTCCTCTCCTGCCCCCCTGAAGCTGGGAACCAGGAACAGAGGCCATGTCTCCTATGTGGGTGTCAGGGAGCCAGCGACGTGAGCCAGCACTGTCGCATCCCTGGGTCTGCATCAGCAGGAAGCCGGAGTCACCTGCGTCAGCAGGAGCTGGGGCTGGACATCAAACCCAGACACTCCGACGTGGAAAGCAGGTGGCTTAACTGCTAGGCCAAACACATGCCTTCCAGCCATGCTTAATAAAGATAACCTGTTATAAGGAAGTTTCCAGAAGCTGCTGCACACTTTCATCTTACATTTGTTACACACCTGCCAGGGATGCGTCACTGGAGCTGGGTGTTGGGGCTGCAGCTATGACAGGACACGCCAGGTCCGTGCTCTCCAAGAGCTTACTATCCAGCCCTGCAGATGGGGCTTTTTATTTATTTATTTATTTATTTTTTAGGATTAGAGAGAGAGACAGTATCTTCCATCTGCTGGTTCATTCCCCAAATGCCTGAAACAGCCAGGCCTAGGCCAGGCTGAAGTCAGGACCCAGGAACTTTATCCCAGCCTCCCCCCTGGATGGCAGGAGCCCAAGCACCGGGCCATCAATTGCTGCCTCCAGAGATGCATTAGCAGAAGCTGGATCAGCAGTGGAGGTGCCGGGACTTGAACCTGTACTCTGCACTGGGATGCAGTCGCCCCAAGGGGAGGCTGGACACCCCGCACCACAATGCCCAATCCAGGCGGCGTTTCCAAACAGGCATCAGCAGCTTTTCTCAAATGGGGCTGCTTGGCACTTGTCCAGCGCTGCCCACTGGACAACACCGCACTCCAAAGCATGACAGGTAGGCGGGAATCCTAACTCCCCACCCGGAGAACCCTGGGGGAAAGGACAAATAAGGCGTAGGAGCATATATGTACATGAACTCAGTGTGTCTCAACACGCCTTGTGAGGAATTCAGTCCATTTTACAGATGAGAAAACTGGAACCCGGAGAGGCCAAGTGACTTCCCATGGCCACACCTGCTGTATTTGGTGCACAGTAGCCAGGCCCATGTCCCTGCTGGAGTGTGTGGGTTCAAGTCCCGGCTCTGCTCCCGATTCCTGCTTCCTGCTAGCACACATTGTGGGAAACAGTAGGTGATGGCTCCGGTAGATGGGTCTTCGCCACCCACCGCGAGACCTGGATTGACTTCTTGTGGAATAAACCATCTCTGTCCCTCTGCTTCTAAATAAAAAATAAACATATATTAAACTCTGGAACTGGGAGCCGCACCACCCTTTAAAAGATAAGCCAGGGGGTTACCGTGCAGCAGGTTAAGCCACTTGTTTGTGTCCCATACCAGAGCCAAGTTCAAGTCCTGGCCACGCTGTGCTCTCTAACCACCTTCCCTGTTAGTGCACCTGGGAGGTAGCAGATGATGGCCCAAGAACCTGGGTTTCCGATAACCATGTGGGAGACCCAGATTGAGTTACGGGCCCTTGGCTTTGGCCTAAACAAATAAATAAATTAACAAACCAGGCTGGTAGCAAAAGGGTTGGTTGAAGGAGGGAGACTTGGAGCAAGGCAGTTTTGGAAAAATCCAGGTATAAAGTGGCACTGGCTAGAACCAACCTCAAATTCAAAACTTAAGGGGCAAGCTCTAAAAATGTCAGTAATTAGGAAAAATAACATTTAATATGCTAAAAGTCAAGATAACAGAAAACTCCGTCATGAGTAAGGCGGCACATTTTTAATTAAAGGCAGGATTGGTGTGGGAGCTGAGCCCCAAGTCTAAGGCCCCGGCATCTCTTCCTGTACGGAGTAGCTCAGAGGGTGAAGCCCCCAGGGCTGACGTCTGAAAGCGGGCCTGTCTGGGGTGACCCCAGGGCTAGGCGGGGTGCAGGAACCCCGAGGGCGAACTGCGAGGGAACGCCTGGTCCTGCGTCAGCTGGGCTTTCCCACCGAGGCTGGGCGGGCCTCGCCCCCGCAGCGCTGGGGCGGAGGCCGCGTGTTCGCTCGCCGCACCCGGACCGGTAAGCGAGGCACGCACGTGGCGGGCTCGCAGCCGGCGTCCCTGGCGTTTTCACCACAAAAATAAGCCCTAGAAAGTGTGGCCTGCCCCGGCCAGGAAAACGCCAGTTCTCCAAACACGCACAGGGACACGCTTCCTTCAGACCCTCCGCTCTGCCTCACGACGGCGCGGAACAGTCTCGGACTGTTCCACCTCGGACACGTGACCCCGGGCCTGGTCTCTCCTGCCAGTCACGACCGCCGCGGAGAGGGGCGAGTGCGCAGAGGAGGGAGGGCGGGGCGTGGAGAAAAGGGCGGGGCCAAGCTGGAGCGTAGACGGGCGGCCCGGAGCGTGGGCTGGGAGAGGCGGAGGCGGGGCGGGGCTAGGCGGAGGCGGGGCGGGGCCAAGCTGGAGCGTGGGCTGGGAGAGGCGGAGGCGGGGCGTGGCTAGGCGGAGGCGGGGCGGGGCCAAGCTGGAGCGTGGGCTGGGAGAGGCGGAGGCGGGCGTGGCTAGGCGGGGGGCGTGGCTAGGCGGAGGCGGGGCGGGGCGTGTGCGTCAGGAAGATGGCGCTGCGTCTGCTGCGGAGGGCGGTGCGCGGAGCGGCGGGAGCGGCGGAAGCGGCGGCGCTGCGCAGCCTGTGAGTGCAGGTCCCCGGTCCCCGCCCGGCGGGTCGGCCTGAGCCTGAGCCTGCGAGCGTGTGCTCCCCCGGCGCGGCCTCCCGGCACCCTCGCGGGAGCCCCGGGTCGACCTCTGCCAAGGTCGCGCGCTGCCGCGGCGCCGTGAGGTGTTGGTTGGACCCGGAAAATGGGCGCAGACATTGGCTCGAGGTGCACGGACTCTGTCCGCCCCAGAAAGCACAGCTCGCTCCGTGTGCCTGTGACCGGTCGCGGCGTGGGCCCTTGAGCGGCGCCGCACGCTGTCTGGCACAGCTGTTCCCAATTTTGCTGGTATCTTGGTTTTTACAGCGTTAGGCATTGAACCAGTAATTAAAAAAACTCATTTCAAGCCCACAAACCCATTAAGTTTTGACTCAATGGCATGTCTTACGAGGAGTAATGATTGCACAGGTGACGAGGTTTCGTGCTGTTGCAGCGCTCCCTGGTTTAATAAAGGACACCTGGAGCCCCCCCACCTGGGCTTGCCAGCCAGGACCTGCCCAGTGCTGGGGTCCAGGGCCACCTCGTGCATGCGCGTGCGCGTTCTTGCTTTCCGGGCCTGCCCCTGTCCTGGTGATGAGGAGAGAAAACAGGCTGAGAGAGGCGAGGTGACTGGTGCAAAAGCCTGGCACCAGCAGTGGCAGAGCGGACTTCACGGGCCAGGCCCCACCTTTTCCTTTTGAAGATGTATTAGGCAGAGTGACGAGAGATCTTCCATCCACTGGGTCAGCCCCCCCTCCCCCCCAATGGCAGCCCAGGCCGGAGCCACCAGCCTGAACTCCATCCGGGTCTCCCGTGTGGGTGGCAGGGACCCTGGCGCTGGGGCCATCATCTGCGGTCTCTCCAGGTGCCTGAGCAGGGCGCTGAATTGGAAGCAGAGAAGTGGGACTGTGGGGCGCTCCTGCCCCAAGTGGTGACTTAACTCCCTGCACTACAAAGCTGCTTCTGGACTTTTTACATCTGCGTGCGTCTCACCCATTCGTGGGCAGCCCACCTTCCAGTTCCTTTGCCATCCCTGGCAAGGGGGCCTGGCTCATGGCTGACAAACCGCAGCCAGAGCAGAGCTGGGGGATGTATCCAGGCCCCGCCAGAAGCTTCCTTTTGAGACCTGTGGAGGGCCAGCCTACTGTTCAGCAGTGGGACCTGTGGCCGCACACTGGTGACACTGGCAAAGCACTGGGCACTTAGCTCACCAGCCTTGCTGACGCCAAGGCTTGGGCAGCACGCTCTCATCCACGAAGCTTCCATGCACCCAGCCAGAGGTTAAATCAGCAGAGGGCCCAGTCTGCAGAGCACCCTGGCGAGGAAGAAAGACATCTGCTTAGCATGTCTGTCTGTCCACCTCCATGGGCAGCTTCTAGTGGCTTTTTCCTACCTGCACACATTTTCTCCTGCTGCTTCCCTGCCTGTCTTGTCTCTGTTGCTGAGGCCACTCGTGGATTTATGCACATCCCTGCCTTCAAGGAGGGGGCACATAACCCCAGTTTACAGAGTAAGGAGGGCTGGTGTTTTGGCACAGAGGCTAAGTCACTGCTGGCAACACCAACATCGTGTCAGAGCGCTGGTTTGGGTCCTGGCTGCTCTGCTTTCCATCCAGCTTCCTGCTAATGCCTGGGAATGCTGCAGAAGATGGCCTGAGTACTAGTCAGTGCCACCCATGTGGGAGCCCAGGATGGAGTTTCTGGCTTCTGGCTTCAGCCTGGTCCAGGCCCGGCTGTTGCAGGCATTTCTGGGAGTAAACCAGCGGATGGGGGTTTTTCTCTCTTTCTCTGTTACTCTGTGTTTCAAATCAATGAATCTTAGCAAGAACAAAACCCAGCAAGGAAGTCGATGTGTGACTGCTAACCCAGTGTAGGGTTTCTCCATCAGTATTTCTGCGTAAGCATCTGGAGCCACATTCAGCTAAATGAGAATCCACACTGTTGTCTCCTCCCTTCATTCATTGTCTGGTGGATCCTTCTAGCCTCCCTCCTGTCTTGTTTGTAAATTCGTCCACAGTGAGAAACCTGGTTCCCACGGTGCACAGTCGCTAACCAGCTTGCATGTTTAACAGTAGCAGGATAGCTGACTCCCTTGCGTGTGTAACGGTACCAGGCTTGTTCACCCGTGCCTGGGGAACTTCATCGGCTCCCGTGCTGTGCTGGGTGCAGTTCCCTTTCTTCAGTTTCACGGGCTCCGCTCATCTCCAGAGTGGCTTAGGTCAGCACTGCTTCTCCGTGCCCCCTTCTGTGAGGTTGCCGATGCAGTTGTATTACAGTTAGATTCCCTGGCCACAGTCTGCGTTCTTTCCTGGATCCCCTTACTTCCCAAGTGACTTTATTTAATTCCATCTATTGAGGTTCGCTCTCTGTGTTGTGAAGTTCTGTGCATTTTGACAAATGCGTAACATCATGTATTTTCCATTGCGGTATGACAGCGCCGTTCAGCATAGCTTTCCTGCCCTAAAAACCCCCAGTGCTTTGCTTTACCTTTGCATTTCCCTTCCTCCCATGCTCGCTGCAAGCACCGCTCATGTCACGTCCCTATATTTTGCCTTTTCCAGAATGTTGTATAATTGGAATTATATGGTATATAGTGTTTTTTCCCGAAGATTTATTTATGTATTTGATGTATTTGAAAGTCAGAGTTACACACAGAGAAGGAGAGGCAGAGAGAGAGAGAGAGAGAATCGATTTTCCAACCACTGGTTCACATCCCAATTGGTCACAATGACTGGAGCTGGGCCGATCTGAAGCCAAGAGCCAGGAGCTTCCTCTGGGTCTCCCACGCAGGTGCAGGGACCCAAGCACTTGGGCCATCTCCTACTGCTTTCCTAGGCCATAGCAGAGAGCTGGATCAGAAGTGGAGCAGCTAGGACTAAAACCTGTTGCCCAAATGGGATGCTGGCACTGTAGGTGGCGGCTTTACCCGCTATGCATGGTGCCGACCCCTATATAGTGTTTTAGACTATGTTCTTTCTCCCAGCAACACACTTTAAAAAAAGAAAGATTTATTTATTTTATCTGAAAGGCAGAGTTACAGAGAGGCTGAAGCAGAGAGAAAGAGAGGTCTTCTATCCACTGGTTCACTCCCCAAGATGGCTGCAATGGCCAGAGCTGTGCCAATCCGAAGCCAGGAGCCAGGAGCTTCTTACGGGGCTCCCACACAAGTGCAAGGGCCCAAGAATTTGGGCCATCTTCTACTGCTTTCCCAGGCCATACCATAGAGCTGGATCAGAAGAGGAGCATCTGGGACTGGAACCAGCACCCATACGGGATGCTGGTACTGCAGGTGGTGGCTTTACCTGCTGTGCCACAGCGCCGACCTCAGCAACACATTTTTGAAGTTCCCCTATGTCTTTTCATGGCTTGATAACGCTTTATTTATTTATTTATTTATTTATTTTACCACAGTTTGTTTATCCATTGACTTATTGAAGGACATTTTGGTCACTTGCAGTCTGTGTTGATTATGTAATCTGTATACATTTTAAAGATTTATATTGTTTATTTGAAAGGCAGAGTTATGGGGGATGGGGGAGACAGAGAAAGAGTGAAAGAGAATGGATACAGAGAGAGAATGGGCAAGAGCTATTTCCATCCGCTGGTTCACTCCCCAAATGGCCACAATGGCTGGAGCTGGGCAGTTCAGGAGCCAGGATCCAGGAGCTTCTTCCAGGTCTCCCACGTGAGTGCAGGGGCCCAAGCACTTGGGCCGTCCTCTGCTGAATTCCCTGGAGCATTAGCAAGGAGCTGGATCAGACGTGAAGCAACTGGGACTTGCACAGTGCCTGTATGGAATGCCAGCGTCACAGCTGATGGCTTTACCCACTATGCCACAGCACTGGCCCCTGTGTGCAGGTTTTCATAGGCACATGTTTTCACACGATTGGGGGAAATACCTGGGAGTATTAATGCGGTAATCATTATGTTTAGCTTTGTAAGAAATGACTGACTGTGCTGTCCCTCTCCAGTTCTACCACAGTGCCAGCCTTGGTACTGCCAGTTTTGAAACATTGTAGCCATTCTGGTAGGTGTCGCTCCCCCTCTTCGTGGAGGAACGACACAGGACCCTGCGCTGTTCTTTCGTCTGCTCGGCCCTCCCCGGGTTTGCTGCTGGTTCTTCCCAGGTTGGCTACTGTCCCTTCCACCTCCGTGGAAGGGCAGTTCCCCCTGGCCACATTCCCCACTTCCACAGGGGAGCAGCACACCGCCGGCCGACTCTCTCGGGGGCTGCACAGGTGTTCCCCTTAGATGTTCCCCTTAGATGTTCCCCTTAGATGTTCCTGGTGCATGCCGTCTCTCTCCTCCTTTATAGTCCTCCTCCGCCAATCCCAACTCGGCTGCCCACACGCCGAGTACGCTGCTCTCCTCCAATCAGGAGCAAGTCCTACAGTTTATTAGCTGAACTGGAGGCAGCTGTGTAGAAGCTGTTTTCTTCTCTCCCAGCGCCATATTGTGGGGGAGCAGATGCATAGAATAAGTCTTAATTCCAGTAACTCAGTCCAGTCCGGGCTGCTCCCCACAGTAGGTGTGGTGTGGTACCTTGTTTTAATTTGTTAATTTCTTTTAACTTGGGGTTTCCTTAGGACAATGATGTTAGGTGTCTTCATGTGCTTATTTGCCACCTGTGTATCTTTGGTGAACTGTCAGGTTTTCTGCCTGTTTCTTGACTGAGTTGTGTGCTGCTCTGATACACAAAGAAACAAGTCCTTGATCTCTGCCCCTGCCCTCACACGTGAGCTCCTGAAGCCCAGAGTGCTCGCGGTTTTTCGTGCCAGCTGCCAGCGAGGTGGCTGGTGGTCACCAGGAAGAACAAGGAGGGACTTTCAGCCCCACCCAGAGACCTCCCGCCAGGGGAGAAGAGGGTTAAGTTGATCACCCGTGGTGGGTGGGGTAAAGAGCAAATATCACATTGTATTCTTTGTCCTGTGTGTCCACTGAGGTCTCTGGTGTCAGCTGGTGATTAGATAGAGATTTCCTCCAATGCCTGGGACCGAGAG